CGTGACTTGGAATTAAGCAAAGATTTTTTTAAAAAAAACACAAAGAGCCCCAGCCATAAAAAAATACACTGCATTTCATCAAACTTAAATCTTTTGCTCTTTAGAAAACATCATTAAAAACACAAAAAGGCAAACCACAGACTGGAAGAAAATATTCCCAACACACATATCAGTAAAAAGATTTGTGTTCAGAAAAAAAATATCCCCATTCTCATTCTCTCATTCTTTTTCTTTCTCTCTCCCCCACCCCACACTCCATCTCACCCCACCATACCCCAACATAAGAAGACAAAAATCCCATTCACAAATGGGGGGAGGGGAATCTGAAAGTACAAGTATATAGGAGTGAAAAAAATAAGTATATAAACTATAGATAATGGAAGCCAGGTTTCTCACTATCAGAAAAAAATATTACAAATAAAGTGAATGCAGAGGCTAGAATGAACCCTGTGGTTTTAGAGTTCAATATATTCATATGAACTCATGTTTATTTTAATATGTATAGATATTTCTGTATATCAGCTCTGTCCACTGAGAGAGCCTAGAAGCAGTTACAACCCAGTAGCAACAAGCACACCTGTGCCCAGGTCTTGTTTCTATTTTTTAATTTTTTTATTGTTTTAATTAATTATTTTTAGAGAGAGGAGAAGGGAGAAAGAGAGGGAGAAAAACAACCATGTGCAAGAGATATATTGATAGGTTGCCTCTCACATGCCCCCAACTAGGGAGCCAGCCCACAACCCAGGCATGTATCCTAACTGGGAACCAAACCAGTGACCTCTTGGTTCACAGGCTGGTGCTCAGTTCACTGAGCCACACCAGCCAGGACCAGATCTTGTTTATAAATACCATTATCCAATGAAAGGAACAGGACTCCTTGATGAAATGGCTGATTCTAGGGCTGACAGGAAAAACACCAGATGAGCCTAGGTACTATAATGCCAGAAATTAAGGAAGTGCTCTAAACAAACATACAAACAAACAAATGATGAAATCATGTCAAAAGGACACAGAAATCAACTTGAAAGAGCTCTCAATGACACAATTTGATCAAGAAAAACATAGTATTGGGTTATAACCTAAAGTATAAAAATAAATATACACAAGTCTATCTGATAAATAAGTGATTGAATAAATAAATGGCAAGAGATAAGGAGAAGGGGAAAATTCTTCCTCACAAAGAATTTCAAATAATATGTATCGACCTAGGAGTTGAATCTGAAGTCCCCTTTCTTTGTGTATAGGCTGAACTTAGTATCCTGCTTTCAAAAAACTGAGTATGGGAAATGAACTTTATAGTAGATAAACCTGGAAAACACTATGTTAACCAAGTATCAGGTTAATATAAACAATGATTTGTCATGGTGATTTAATTAAAGGAAAGAATAAGAAACTGTCATGGATCTCAGAAGCCTGGGAAGACACAATGTCCAAATCCAATGTGCCATCCTGGAGTGGATAGTGGAATAAAAAGAGGACATTAGAACCTAGTCTAACCATGACAAAACATCAGACAAATCCCAGTGACAAGATATTCTATAAAATACCAGACCAGTAATCCTCAAAACTGTCAAAGTCATCAAAAACAAAGAAAGTCTGTGAAATTTTCACTACCAAAAAGAGTCTAAGGACGCATGACTATAACTGTAGTATGGTTTCCTGAATGGAATCCTGGAAGAGAAAAGGGACATTAGGTAAAAGCTAAGGAAATCTGAATGAAGGATGAACTTTGGTTAATAATTTATCAATATAGCATCATTAATTGTGGAAAAAACGTACCATGTAAGATGTTATCAGAGAAACTGGGTGTGGGATATATGGGATAACTCTCTGTACTATCTTTGTAATAATTCTATAAATCTAAAACTGTTAAAAAATAAAAATTTTATTTATTTTTAAAACAGATATTAGTGGAAACACTGGGAAAACCTGGAAAAAGTCCATAGTTAAAGAGTAATGCATTAATGTTCATTTCTTTTTGTGATGATGTATCATATCACAGATATCGTTATCACATACAAGAGGTTAACATCAGGGGAAAATGAATAAAAGGTATACGGAAACTCTGAACGCTCTTTGCAAGTTTTCTGTAAATTTAGAGTTTATTTTTTTAACAGGCAAAAATATTTTTATTATTAAATAAATAAAAATATTTAAACCTACACTTCTTAAAGAGATATGAGTGACCAAAAAAGATATGAAAAATGTTCAACATAGTAATGTAATGAAAAACAAAACTAAGAAAATACTACACACCCATTTAAAATTAAAAAGACTGATCTCTTACATGAAATGGGCAAACCCTCAAAAGACAAACTACCAAAGCTCACTCAAGAAGTAGATTAACTTCAATAACCCTACAAGTATTAAAAAACTGAATTTCTAGTTCAAAATACATGAAGAAAACTCTAGAACCAGATGGCTTTATTGGTACATTTTACCAAACATTTAATAATAATTCCAATTCTATACATATTCTTCCAGACAGTAGAAGAGGGAATCCTTCTCAACTACTAGATGTGGTCAACATTATCCTGACAACAAAAGCAAAGAGATTATAAGGAAACAAAATTACACACGAATATTCCTCATGAATACACTAAATATAAAAATCCTTTAAAAAATGTTTAACAAATTAAATCTAGTAATACACAAAAAAGAATAATTCATCAAGAGGGGCTTTCTCTAGGAATGGGAAGTTGGATTAACATTCAAAGACCAAATATCACACACACACACACACAATATCTCAACAGATACAAAAAAGACATATGACAGAATCCAAAGCAGCAGAAATTGCTTAAGAAATATAATTAAATGCCAAGATAATGTTGGATACTGATGTAATGTGAGAAGATGTAGAATCTTTGAAAGTCATCACGTATGAACCCAATTGCTTGGAAATTTGATTTCTTTTAGCATCATGTATGCCTTCCAACTGTATTTGTACTTATGCTAAAATTAAAATTAATACTTATACATTAAAAATCCTTGGAATGGAGTATGATGACCTTGGGCCAATTTGGAAAGGAAATAGAAAAAAAAAAGATAATACTAACAGTTTCTAATTGCTGCAGGTAAATCTTTAAGTAGACCATTAACAAGTACATAGCATCATTCCCTGAAAGGAGACATGTAAACTAAAATTTCTGTCTCCACTTCCCAAATGATTGTGGGAAAATTGCTTACTTTCTTCAGGCCTCATTTTTCCTATCCTTTTATATGAGGATAAAAATTCAACAAATATTTATTGAGTGCCTTCTGTGTATCAAACACTTTTTTTAGAATATGGCAGTGGGGAAAGAAAAAAACAGACAAAATTCCCTCCCCTCACAGTTTAGAGACAAACTATGTATCTAAGATAAATAGCATGTTTAAAGATAATAAATACTGTGGAGAAAAATAAAGCAGGGAGGGGGCAGAATATACTGACAGGGGTGTGTTTTTAAGTGGGGTTATAAGGGGAATAGATGATTTCTAGGTTCACTTTCAGTTCAAAAATCCAATGACTTCCTTCTAGGTTGATTAGGAAGCATAAAAACACACAGTGAACCTCTGAACCTGACCTCTTTAAATTCATATATTCTATCACCTTGCTCTGTATGTCACCACTTATATTCTAGAAGAAGAGGATTAAACATACATTTTTCCATACTGAGACAAAGCATATGCAGTTATTTAATGAAATAAGTAATTTCCCAGTCTTGCCTTGGGGGAGTAAAATAAGAAAAATAAAACCTAGCAATTTCTCCCCAGACAAAGGTTCTAAAAATGTGACATTTTTGCATGATATAGAAAGGATTAAAATTAGCTGTTTTTCCTCCTCCTCCAATATATTTGTGGTCTGGAATCTGGTCCTTTATTGGGCCTAAATTACAACAAGAGGTGGTTTAACAGCCCCTCCAAAATAACAGATTTGCCATAGGCAAGAAAAGTCATATAAATAATAAGTATTACTACTATAGCTATTGCAGCTACAATATTCTGTATGCCTGCTATGTGCCAGGTACAGCACAAGACATTTTATATATTAGGCTGAACTATATGAAACTGTCATTTATAGGTCAAAATCAGCAATTATATATAGTTTAAATAGGTTTTCATTTATTAATTTCAAATTCCATGAGAGAGAAGTCTGTGTAGGTTAATTACATTGCTGTATTTCTATAGCTCACCTATTAAATTGTTATCTTGGGCAAAACTTCAAGGTAACATGAAATTTCTGTTTGGGTAAGATATAAGGCTGTCTGGCAAGTTGGCAGTGCTAAAAATGACAACTGGAAGATACTGCCTACCTATAAAAATGAGTTTGTGCTATTACAATTCAGAGCCCTAATTTTATTGAAAGCTATTCATAGCCATGTGGCTTCATTCTGAGAAAAGCTCAATTTACTAGTTATAACCACTATCTTACTTACAAAGACAGAATCTTCATTCCAAAATAAATATTTTTTTTATCCACTAGAAAGAACAACTGAATATTATACTAATATCTAAAATCTGTCTATCTGGAATGGAATTTCTATTTCTTTAGAAATACCTCATTAAAAGAATCTTTCCCAAAAAAGAACACTGTCTATAAACCAGCTTATTACATCCAATCCAAATAATTTTAAATTCATCTTTTAATAGTAGGTAAGTCCCTAAAGTTTTTTTTTTTATTCTGGCACTTTTCATTCACTACACAGTTCATGTGTAGAATTCACATTCATAAGACATTAATAAAATAGCTTTTAACTATCTTCTAAGTAATTCTATGTTATCTAAAGTGTCATCTAGCAGAAAAAGGCAGGCACTTTGTATGTTACATTAGCAGCAGATGTGAAAGTTTATTTCCAACATTTAAATGCCAACAGAAGTCTCAATGAAACATTAAGAAAAAAAAAAGACAGAAAAATTACCTAAAGTGTTTTTTGGGGAAAAAGAAATTAACATAGAAGAATATGATGATTACATTTAGGAATCAAGGAGTTTAAACAAGTAAATATATAAAAACCTACCAGCTCATTGCTTGTAGATGTGAGTCTTAGTTTTTCTTCAATTTCCTTTCCAATTTTCTGAACAGTTACCTGAGTCTGTTTAATTGCACACTGGGCTCTATGAAGCCTAGAAATAAAAGTTATAGAAAAACTTAAGTGAATTAACTATTAACTTTCAACACTGAACTACAGATATAAAAGGAAGAAATGAGGACAAATCTTCCAGGATAAACGGAATTAATAATGAACCCAAACTGATTGTTTCACAATTTCCAACCATATTTATAATGAAACACAATATGGTCTAAAAGTGCCCGTTCTATACCTGCCTGACTGCCTTTGACACACTGAGAGCTAAAATGAAGAACTCACAGGAGACTGGAAGAGATGTTAGAAAATTATCTAGTCAAATCCTATCATTTTACAGATGAAGAGAAGTTGAGTGGATTGCTAAAGTCACCAGGAGAACATCACTGCTATCAAAGCTTAATATTACTTGTGAGTATCCGTAAAAAGTTTAATAATCTCAATTAAGAAGACTGATTTAAAGTACCAACCAGGTTGAACCAAGGAACAATAAAAAACACTGAGCTATTTTCTTTTTTGGTTGAATTATGGGTTTGTGTTTTTCTTGGTCTCTGTCTTCCAATAAGCGAGGGGGGGGGGAGAGAGTGAGAGAGATTCTTATACATTTACCTATTAAAAGTGGTCAAATTATATTTATTTGTAGATGACACGATTTTCATGTAGAAAATCATTAGGAATCTACAAAACAACTACTATTAACTATAAGTCAGAGGATACAGGTGAATACACAAAACTTCAGTATATTTCTATATATGGGTCAGCAGTTGTGCAATCACAATCACAATCCTTTTGGATGTAAATAAAGAACAAGCTGATACAGTAATTTATACAGAAAAACAAAAAATATCTAGAAGAGATAAACCGATCTTGAAATCTGCCAGATTTCAAAGTTTATTTTAAAAAATATGTTTCCTGATTTTAGACAGGAAGGCAGCGGGGGGGAGGCGAGAGAGGAAGAAACATCGATGTGAGAGGGAAAGACAATCAATTGGTTGCCTCCCATATATGCCCTGACTGCGGATTGAACATGCAACCCAGGTATGTGCCCTGGCAGGAAATCAAACCTTCAGACTTTGGGTGTACAGGATGATGCTCCAACGAAATGAGCCACACTGGCCAGGGCTCAAGGCTTTCTTTTTTATAAAACTACATAATCAAAACAATATGGTACTGGCATAAAGATAAAAAAATAGATAAATGGAATAGAATAAAGAGTATACATATAGACACCTACACATAGGTAACCAATTGAACCTGGGCAAATTTACAGAGAATATAAAGTTTTTAAAATAAATGATGCTAGGACACTGGATAAACATAAGAGAAAAATGAATCTCATTCCCTATATCACAGCACACAAAAGAATTAATTCAAGAAGATCATAGTAAACATAAAAGCTAAAAAATCATAAAACTTCTAGAAGAATACATAGGAAAAATCTCTTGAAACTTCGGGATAGGCAAAAATTTCTTAGAGAAGACACAAAAAGCACCAACCATAAAATTTTAAATGGAGAAACTGGACTTCACCAAAAAAAAAAAAAAAAGAAAGGTATGCTCATCTAAAGATGCCATTAAGAAAATGTAAAAGCATCCCTTTGACTGGAAAAAATATTTGCAAAACATCAATTGACAAAGAATTGTGTTTGGTGTATTTAAAGAATTCTTACAAACCAGTTAACAGAAAGACAACCTCATTAAAAATGAGCAAAAGTGTGTAATATTTCACAAAAGAAGATATAAGAATGGACAATAAGCATAGAAAAACGTGCTCAACATCTTAGTCATCTTGGAAATGCAAATTAAAATGATAATGAAATGCCATTTCACACCTGTTAGAACAGCTAACATTAAAATGACAACACTTGATGGGAGCAAGGATATGGAGGCACTAGAACTTGCATGCAGTACTATCATTTTGAAAACTGTCCCTTATAAAGTCAAACATACATCTAACCTATGACCCAGTATTTCTACTCTTAAGTATTCACTCAAGAAATATATAACATATGTCCACAGGAAGGTTTGTATAAGAATGATCACAGAGGACAGCCCAAATGTCCATCGAACAGGAGAATTAATAAACAAATTGAAATATATAATGAAATTCTACTAAGCAATAAAAGAACGCACCACTGATACAACATATAAATGAATCTCAAAAACATTATATTGAGTGAAAAGAGCCAAAAATAAGAATGTACATCCTGTATGATTCCATTTATACACGGTTCAAGAACAGGTAAAAGCAGTCTATGGTGACAGAAAGCAAGTTGCTAGTTGCCCAGGTGGGGCAGGACTGACGGTAAAGAGCAAGGAGACAAAGGGATTATTGAGATGAGGGAAACTTTCTGCACCTTGACTGGGGTAAGGGATACATGGGTGTACAAGGAATTTAAACTTAAGATCTACTCATTTCACTGTATGTACATTTTACCTCAGCTTTTAAAAATTGGTCAACAATCCTAACCTGAAAGTTATCCTATATATGTGGAGGCTACTTTTATTAAAGACTTAATGGCATCAATACCTCTACCAACATTATTATTATTATTGTTATTACTACACTACACACCAAAAATATTCATGACATACTATGCGTTTTTGGAAGTTGCCTGACAGTTATTAAGGATTTCTTAGGCCATCTCAAAAAAAGTAGCTCCTATTATAGCTAATTTGCTCATGAGATGAGTTACTCAGCAACTTCCTCAGGGCTCCTAAGAAATCCAATAGAATCATCCTACTACCTCTTGCTCTGGGTGTGTATATGTACTTTTTTGAAAGTAATACTCTCTTAGGAAGGTCTAAAGAAATGTAAAAGCAAGGAAAAGCCCTTTGTGATGTGCTCCCAGCACAGTGCAGCCACTTTTCTTGATATTCCTTATCTTGCACACTACACTCCAGCAGTACTGAAGTCCTGACAGTTCTCCAAACACATCGTGCCATTTCTTGCTTCTGCGCCCTTTGAGTGAGCTGTTCTATCTCCCTCCATGTTTTCCTTGTCTTTTAACAGATAAGTACACTCATAATCCATTAAGAGGCAGCTTAAGCATAACCTCTTTTTCAAAGGCCTTTACAGACTATTCCAGACAGGTAGAGGCACTCCTTCTGGAATTCTGTGGCATCACGTATACAGCACCACTAACAAAGATTATGGAACCACACTTAACAGCAACTATTTACTCCCTTGTCTATTTCCTCTCTGAGGGTAAAAAAAAACAAAACACCTCTTTTCTTGTACATTCCCAGGGCATAGCAGAGAACAGGGCACAAAGTAGGCACTCAAAAAGTTTTTGCTGACTGAATGTCTGCTACTGCCTTATTATAAAAACACAGCACCAAGATTTAATTGTTTATTTATTTTATTTTATTTTTCAAATACATTTGTCTCCATTTTCCCACCATCACTTTCCCCAGACTTAAATTATTTTTTAGTGAATAGTGAGAAATTGAAAGATTAACATGGTAGTTTTCTGTATTTATAATTTCAATATAATATATTCAATACAAAGAGCACACAAATTAAAGACCACTCATTCTGATAGGGAAACATTTTTACTAAAAACATTATCATAATTCTAACAACGATAGGCATTATCACTCTAGAACAGAAATCAACAAAATAGCCTGTTACTTTAAAAGAGGGAAAATGCTGCCTAAAACTCACTGGTACTATGCAAACAACCTTGTCAAACGGTAAAGACTTTAAAAATAAAAATGATTCATGACCATAATTAATGTATGACTTCAACTATTTGGCTCTCACTGCCCCAGACGCTTTCTGATCTTACCTTAGGGGCTTAAAACACACAGACAGAGTCACATTTCCTCCAATCTTCAGTGTTATCCAAATAGACTTTCAGAGCCCCTGCTACATCAAGACAGAGCTAATAACGTCCCCCTTTCAAACCCAACAGGAGAATAAAAGTTTGAAGTGTTTAGGCTTTTAGGCATAACATGGGACATCCTGATTCCCCTGAGCCTGAGGAGGTGAAAAATTAACAAGAAAAGAAACAACTGTTTTACCTCCAAACCAGCTAGCCAGTTTCAGAGGAATGTTTCTCAATTTTGCAAACTATGAAATGATACTGTAATGCAAGAAATATATATCACCCAGTCATCTGGGTGACTGGTCAGTTACAACACTAACACTCTTAAGCTGAAATAAAACTCATCATCACTGGTGTGGCAAAGAGGGATCAAGTAGCTATTTGAAAGGTATTCTGATTATAGCAAATAATCAGAATATAGCATCCCTATTACTTAATATGATTTGAGATAACAGTAAAATTGAAGCCAGGTTAAAAAATAATGGTTTGCAGTTAGATATTGCTGTGAATGTAAAGAAACATTGAATAAAAGGTATTATATCCAAAAAAATATTAATAAACACTGAGAAAAACCGATGAGATATTAACAATAATCTCAGTAAAGGAGAAGTTAAATTTTTATCTACTTAGTGTTGCTCTGGTCATATCTGAAACGCTGCATTCAATTTTAAGATGAAGAATAACAAATTAGAACACCTACAAAGGCAGTGATGTATAGGAGCCTATTGAGAAAAATAGATACCTTATCATTAATGGCTTTGTATTCCTTATGAAGAAGCCTAGACTTTTATTCTGAAGGTATTCAATAACCATTAAAAAGTTTTCAGTTGGGAAAGATTTCATTGCATTTGCACTCTAAAAATATCTTCCTGTAACAAGGTGAATGGGACACTAGGAAACGACAGTAAACAGAAAGGCTAGTGTGAGGTTACTGCAACAGTTTTAGCAAACATTAGGCACTGTCCTAAATTAAAAGAGTAACAGTGGGGATGGGGTAGATGCAAAAAGTGAGAAAGAACAAGAGATAAACACTAATGTCTAGCCCTTGACCAGGTAGTTCAGATGGTTAGAGCGTTGTCCCTATACACCAAGGTTGCAGGCCAGGGCACACACAAGGATCAACCAATGTATTGTGTAAATAGGTAGAACAACGAATCGATGTTTCTCCGTTTCTCTCTCTCTCTCTCTCTCTCTCTCTGCCTTTCTTTCTC